TATAATATTTATTCACGGCATTATTAAGCAGCGCGTTGACCTAACACTTCGTGGAAACAACAAAAAGCATGATAAATCTACATGTAATCGATCAATCGCCCACATCACAGATATTTGTGGGAGTTGAAATACTTTGAACCTTCGATGCTAAAGGTTTTCCTATTGAATGAATGAAATGCTGCTTTTTCAACATACTTGTAGTCTAGTATAACGGATTTAAATGGCAGTTTAAGGATTTTTACATTAAGGTCCATATATATGTACTGTACTGTACATCAAAACATCAGAACATCAAAAAATGTGTTCAAAGAATTGTCCAAGTAATACTAAGATGAAGTGTCAACAGGGCTATTATAAATATCAACGAAATGATAAATCTTCAGACAGAGTAAACAATAAAATTTGATAATCTTATCATAAAAGATACAAGAACCTATGACGTTGGCACACAAAAATTTAATATGGTCAAAAAGAATTTGGTCAACCACAGACTTGCTTAAAAATATAATAAATAAAAAACCTGTATTCAAAATTGCTTCGTTTATTCACTAGAGGGCTTCAAAGTTACATTAAAAATCACTCTTGTAAACGCTTGACTGCATCTTTACTATCCAAAAGTTTAACATAAAAGTAGGCCAAAATATTGAAGCAGATACTTGTAGTAATTTTTTAGTATTTACGTAGTATCCACTATAATATATACTAGGTCTGGTACAAATTGCGTTAGTAAATTTTACATAGATAGTGTCATTTGGCGTCCTCATTTCGCGTTTCGCGCGCTTGGTGCGGTGCGGTGTCGTGGCGCGCTGCACGTTGCGCAAGCCGCGCGAGGTCGCCGCCTGCCCTCATTCGCGCGCTCTCCGCACAAATGTCAGGATCAAGGTCGCAAAATATCGAATGAATTTATTCCCTAATATCGATTACATTATACCCTTATATGTAATTCAGGTTATAAATATGTCGTTTGTAAAAGTTGATAAAGTGATTATTATTTTTATGAGTATTCTTGGGAAAATCATTTAAAAATAAAAGGAGGTCATGAATAAAAAAACAGCAGCATTGTATTTTTTTTATTTTATTGATCGCATTTATTATTTGCCGAGAAGGGAAGCTGGAGTTCTAATATAAAAAGCTGCAAAAGAACAAAAAATATGGCACAACATTGTATTGGAAACATGGTATAGTTTTGTTCAGTCTGTATACATCTACTATTACACTAAAATCTTTACTTTTGACAATATTAGGTAGGTAGGTAACTTTTGACAAAATGGACGGCGTAAAATACATAAAAAAATCAAACACTCGATTTCATCACTAATTTAATTTTATTTATTTAATCAATTAATTTAATTTCAATGACGTGTCAATTAAAATTTATAACTTTTCGTATCAATAATTGTTCGTTTTAAATCGATAATCGTTTTATTCGAGTTTAAATAAACCAAACAATAAATATGAATTCGCAAGAATTGCCACACAATAACACGTACACACAGACAATCAGCACGCTATTTCAAGTCCACTCGAAATCATCGTTTACATACAATTTCTTATCGAAATAGATGAAACTAAATTCGAGTTCCTAGCAAATAATTAAATCTGATTCATTCATATATCGTATTTGGCTGTGAAGGTACAGTAAGATTTGCTGGCGGTTCCATCTCTAAAGCGAGTCTTTATAGACGTTTTATACGCATTGAAAATAATAGCTGATAAATATTGTTACAATAGCTTACGAATCTAATTAATGAATTGTTGTTAAAATGTATTGTTTTATTTAACTGGAATACCGTGAACGAAGCTGACTGTACCTATAAAGTTATCAAGTAAGGGAAAAATCACCAGATATTTTATAAAGAAAATTAACATCAATAAAATCAGCCTTTACAATTACTTGTGACTTAATATTGTTAAGTAGTGTGAAATGATTTTCTGTATTTGGCTCTTATTGGGCAGAAATATTGTCTATACGTATGTTAGAAAACGATAATTTTAGCATAACTAGGTCGAGATAATGATGGACTAATAACCAATTAGTTCAAATTATCAACAACTAGTATGTAGGTTATATGTGCATTTTTAAACATTAATATCAACCGAAAAAGAAAGTATAATTTTGTATACAAAAGTAAAAATCCAAACCTACATAGTCCTTAGTAATATTTCATTAAAATATAGATCTAATACCATGTTAGTAACACTTTCAGTACCACTACGATTTTACGTATAAAAGGGAAAGCCAGTTGTGTCGGTGGCACTCAATGTGTTAAAAAGGTCGACTTATCAGAATTCTTCCGTAAACCGAGACTAATTTTTTTCTGTCAGTTTAGTGATCAATCTTTCGTTACTTACATGAGCAATTAGTGGTTTCATAAACTAAAATTAAGATGGATACTAAAATGTTATAAAAAATCGCATTTCACAACGTTGCTTGTCATCCTTTATCAATCGAATCAAAATTGTATTCTGTAATGATGTTGTGGTCGTTTATTATCTTTTGCCGATTCAGCTGATCTTCTGCGTGCAGCGGCGTACACTGCTAGCTTGGAGGGAGATGGCAGGCTGGAGTCCCGCGGGCGTACTAGGGACTCGCGGGACTCCGCTGCGGGAAGCGACGCCGACGTTGGGACGGAGGGCAGCTTGCGAACCGTGTCGTATGGTAGGGGGGAGCTACGTGATGCAGTTGACGCTATCGAACCTGACCCATCCGAATCCTAGAAGAGTCAACAATTAAAATAATTTCTTCTCTATAAGCTATATTATGCAATATTCAAAAAATCATGCTATCTAATATGTCTACGTAGTGTAAAAAGTAATCAAACACGAGAGAGAATCGTCACTTTCACTAGGTCGGTGTAGCGGGGCGCAACGAGATATGATGCATGCATATGTCAAGGACGCGGCCCACATGTGGCCTGCGCTGCGCCCACGTGAGGAAATATTATACGCTCGTGTATTCATTTCCATATGAAGTTAATTTCTAAGAAAGTGACATAC